TTGTTGCTCAAATTTTGACAACATTTTAGGCAAACTTACTCTCTAGAATATTAGGGATAAGATAAGATGAAATATTAGGGGAATACAATCAATTCTTTTGGGTTAATTTCTATCAAAATATTACATGTGCAGACGTAATTATCTAACAAAATGAAAACTTCATTGAGATGGCCATACTAAAATTACTACTCCTTAATTGTATGTGTAGATCCAGACAGAAATAACCATCTGGTATGGGTCATCCTTTCATAAAACTGGCATTTGTTAACATTCCCCAAAGAGGCGGTCAGAGGAGCCACATGTAATCTCAGCGGAACAACCATCGATATCAGAGACTGAAGCTATCAGTCTTAGCCAGTCTGATGTAGATCTGACTTTGCTATTAAGTTCCAAGTCTAAAACATTACAACAAAATTTAAACTGTCTCGGGAAGATGACAATTTAAATCATTTTGCACATACAATCACTCATAGCAGTATTTCTATCTAGACTAGACTAGGTCTAGACCTATACTTTCAAAAAATTAAGACTAGACCTAACTCTAGTCTAAGTAAAATAAAAGTAAGACTAAAATGACCCCGGAGGGTATAGACTCTACTCAGATTTGGTTTGGACAGGGGTGTGCCACTCAAGCCTCAAAACCTCTAACCATTAATTTTATTAGGGATCACTTTCAGGCATTTTTCTCCCACAATTTTCGGGGTGTTTGCATTGAAAAAAAACAGACCCATTTCTCAGGATTTTTTGTGAAAAAGTGACCCATTACAGCGGCATGTCCTAATGTGTGACTATGGGAAATTGATGTGAAAATCAAGTCAAATAGTCTACAAGTGAATGTGTAATTGGCATTAACCTATTAATTATTCTGATTCTTAAAACTTTCAAACACTGCTGGACAAAAGCCACCAGAATGACAAATAAACAGCAGCAAATCAATTCAATCAATCAATTCAACCAACTTGGAAAAAATACATTGAAAAGCTCAATCAGAGATTGTGGGGGGGGGGGGGGGGTCTCGTCGACTAGATCTTGACCTAATCGGACGCGATCTTCTTCTTCTTCTTCTTAGTTGATCCCTCGGAAGCGGTGCACAAAGAGAAGTTGGCGGGACTGAAGTCTTCTAATAAGGTGAAAATGACATCACAATCAACGTAAATGACGAAATAATTAATACAGAAAATACCTTTTTTGGGCGTCAAGGCCCCATAGACGGATTTGTCTGTCATATAATTCAGCCTCTTCTTCAGTTATTTGTAGTTCAGCCATTCTAAAGCTGTATTTCAGGGTTGAAAGGCAGGATGGGCAGCGGACCAGTGCAGGGCGAACTTTAGATGGCGCTCTTACCTTCGGCTTCACTGCTCGTCGCCAGCGCCGTCGTCTGCTCGTATGACAAGTGTCCCTCTATAGCTCTACAGATGAACACAACTTACAAAAGACATTAGTATGTCCCTTCCCATCAACTGACAACCTGTCGTGTCCACAATATTAGCATCGCATGTTTTTATACAATGCCCACTCACAAAATTCAATTACATTTTAAGCAGTTGCTATGTCAGAAATCCCTAACTAACGCACATGCACTCGCACACATCTGCAAGAATCTTCATCAGTGAAGGAGGCAGATTATTTTGAAGAAGAAGAAGAAGAAGAAGAAGAAGAAGAACACGCATTCTTATAACAACCCTCAATTTAGAATAAAATAAATAATCACGTTGGTTCAAATCCAATAAACTCTCTAAATATTAATTAAGACTTATTGTCTGTATTTCAAAACATACACTCTAAACATGTTCTTCATTATAATATTTGTATAGATGACATGCCCATGAGTTGCAAAATTCTTAGGTGTAATGATTGATTCAAATCTAACTTGGAATCCCAGGTCGAAAATCCCATAGAGACCAATAGAGACCATTAGAAAAATTCTATTGGTCTCTAATGGTGTCTGTTGGAGTCTATTGGTTTCTGTTGGACCTATATAATTGAATCCAATAGAGACCATTCAAACCATCCGAAACCAATATAAACCAATAGCACCCATAGAAACCAAAAGAAATAGAAACCAATAGGACCAATAGAAACCAGTAGGACCAATAGAAACCAATAGGACCAATAGAAACCAATAGGACCAATAGGACCAATAGAAACCAATAGGACCAATAGAAACCAATAAGACCAATAGAAACCAATAGAACCGATAGGACCAATAGGACCAATAGGACCGATAGGACCAATAGAAAACCAATGAGACCAATAGAACCCAATCGGACCAATAGAAACCAATAGGTCCAATAGAAACCAATATAAACCAACAGCTAAATCTATCTCATGCATATTCATGATTACTTTATACGTGTTCACAGAAAATTACATTTATCATAATTTGTTAAGCAACTTATGACAATGTACATCAATTTTGTGATTTTTATTTTCTTTCGGCAACTAATGACCAATAGATTATTTGTTTAATCATGTTACAATTTCATTCACGTTTTAGCAATAGATAATTGATTATAATGATTACTAACCAAGAAACAATTCATGTATGTTTATTAATAGAATAGTACAAGCCTTCAGTTAAAATAAAGGATATACTTAAACTTACTTCAAGTGATCTATGTGATAGAGTTAATGCAATTGAGATTAGAATATACTTTTTTTGGTGGACTGTTGCTAAAATCGATTTTGATTTATCATTATTGATTTACCAATAGAAGCCATTGGACTATTGGTTTCAATAGTGAATTCAGAATTATGGGACCATTAGAAACCCATAGAAAGATCTCTAATGGACCAACAGGAACCAATAGAAAATATCTAATGGACCAACAGAAACCCATCTTAGAAGAAAATATCTAATGGAGCAACAGAAACCCATAGAAGACATGGGTGGATGCTGGTCCAATAGAAGCTTTCTGTTGGTCCATCAGCATTTCTTTCTGTGGGTTTGTGTTGGTCCAATAGATATTTTCTAATGGTTTCTGTGGGTCCATAATTTCACTTTCCCCGTTGAAACCATTAGACACCAATAGCTCTAATGGTTTCTGATGGTCCAATAGGATCGGATCCTAATGGAATTTCGACCTACATACATCTGCATGTTAGTCTCGAGAGGAATAGGCATTTTATATAGATCAAAATACTATCTATCACAAAAGCCACTATTTAGGCTTTACAATTCTTTAATTTTGTCATACATCATCTTAGTGTGGGGGTAATAGTAATAAGATAGTAATAAGTAATAAGATAATAGTAAAAAAAAAAAAAGCACTCCGTCTCACATTCACATTTTTTAGTCCATACTGATCCAATATTTTATAAACTAAGAAACATTAAAAAAGGCTGATATTCAAAGTTTTCAAACTGCAATCTTTATGCATAAATTTTGGATAAATACTTTACCTTTTGCATTTCGAAACATTTTTTTTTACAATAGTGATATACATTCTTATCCTACACGACACTCGTGCGATTTCCATTTAACTTACCCAAAATCATTATGGCCTATATAAATCGATAAGACACCATGATCTGGCTTTTTGGAATGCTTTACCTGACTATAAATATTAAACACTCTGCATCTCTTTATTCATTCAAAGCCTCGATGAAAAAATGTTTAATATCCAAATATTCACAAAGTCATTATAAGGGTCTCAGTAACGATTTTAGTTGTTTGTTTATATAAACTAATTTTAAATGACCAGTTCATGAACAAGGCGAATCGAACATTTACTTCACCTGCACACACCCACTTGCACACACTCGCAATTTTTTTTCTTCTTTAATTTCTGTCCACTTTTTATTTAGATACTTTCTGAACAAAATCTTTATACGTGACACTCTATTCTCCTACATACTCCTCCTATAACAACGTCACGTACCCCTCCCCCCCCCCTTTCCGGCACCTATATTGACTCAAGCATTCATGTTTATGATATAGTTGGCCTCTCATCTGCAATTATCTTGATTCTTTTACTTATACCTCCATATTTTCAAGTTTTCAATTATATATATATATATATATATGCATTTTTATGTGTGTGTATTTCAGTGGTCACTTTTTATGTAAATAAATTATATTATATACTATTTGTTGTTTGAATGTTTCGTATTTGCTTTATCAATAAATGCAGAAACATCTGCTAAAAAAAGAAGAAAAAGGGTTTCAATGGGTTACTATATGAAAACATGATAATGTAATAAGTACAGTACTCCGCGGTGGGTGAGGAACATAATTTGAACTGTCTGTTCATGTTTATCTAGCTGACTGATTTATGACTGGCATGATGATGTCACAGAAGTCATTTGCTTCTGGAGGGTTTTCTTCAGGCCTGTAGCCAAGGGGGGGGGGGGGGGGCACATGCCCCCCAAATTTCCAAGATCATGGTTGAACTTTTTTAGACCCCTCCCCAGGACGTCGATCAATTACATGTATGTCATCAAACTGTGGCTACGGCCCTGATTTTCTTTTCTTTTAGGGATGGATCGAGCTTAATTAGCAGGTAGGATAAAACGGTAATAGAAGAAAATAATAATATGACAAAAACAAATGATGCCAAAAGGTCAAAAGATAAACAGTGTATTACAGATCAACAACAGTCAAGATGCATTTGTAATAAGTCGCAAAGATCATGAAGACTGAAGCCTGAAGAAGAGAGAGAGAGAGGCCGATCGAGAGAGAGAGAGAGAGAGGGAGAGAGGAAGAGAGAGAGGGGGGAGCGGGCCGGCCGGGGGGGGGGGGGGCGGGCGGGGATCCGAGGGAGGGATATGAGAGAGAAAGATTAAGGCCCTGGGATATACGACCGGGGGTAACATCTTTGACTTTAATTTTTGGGAGGTTAACATTTGCACTGGAAGATTGGGCCTTGGATGCAAGAATAAATGGGGCGTACTTGTGGGCGTGGCCGTGGGTGTGGCCAGGGAACGGGTTGGGGGGACTCGGGCCGGGGGATGGGAGCGAAGTACGAAGGCCTATACAAATTAAAGGCTCACATGGGCTGGTTAAACTTCCACCATGAATACTAGAAAAATTTCTGATGACATGCAAAATGCTTCCCGGTAATAGTCTAGATTGTTGGAAATATTTGTAGGCCTAGCAGCATAAAAGGAACATGCGATCATATCAGCTGCCCTACACCACGGGCGTGACCTTTGTCTCGATATCGAGGTTCCACGCAGCATGCACATTACGCATGATCAGTGCAGTGCATGCGATCAGTGCCCTGGAAGATTTGTACCACGACGCAACAGCACCATCCGAAACACACACTGCCCTTCTTCACCGTCAAACTTGATCGTCGCTTAAAACTGTAAAATGGTAAGAAAAATGTATGGGAAGGATCTCATTATTGTTTTTTGGAAGTAGACATAAATGTCATATTTGTTGTGCCCAAAATTGAGAGTGAAGAGAGAGTGTTTGTGTGGTAGGCCGTAGGCCTGTCGCCTAGATCTACGTGGTCAGACTGTGTCAGTGTGTGGGCGTACGTGGGTTCAGTGCATGTGCACGTAGTGTCTAGTGAGTGTCCGTCCGGAGGGAGAATAAGATGATGATGATGATGCTGCTGGTAGTTGAGGATAAATAGCCTGGCACTGGCCCGGCCGCGAAATTTTTATTCCCGAACAGGTTTGCAATTTCTTATATTTCGGTTCTTCTCAATGGCTGATATGTTCTACGTCATTAGCATAGCAGCTTGGAAAGAGGTAGATCTAGACCGAATTTTCCGTCTCTTCCGTTCGTTAGCCTCTTATTGGGGGTAGCATATATTGGCACCAAGATTAACGGCGATATGAATATTCATTATTCCCTACGTCACAGACGTGCGGCGTGCGTACTCTGTCATATACACATGTATTCAGTACATGAGTACGTTCGTAAGCATTAGGTCATGTACATTGCTCCGGAATGAAGAGAATCATTATAAAGGACGAATTACTCCGTGAAGCCAAGTACAAGCAGGGAATTGAAAATAGCAAACGTTCCTCGGAGCGGCTATACACTCCCTAATCTAGCTAGTTTTGTAATGATAGTTTATTTAGGATAATGGACATTTAGTAGGCCTATTGTTTAGTTGTTAACGGATTCGAGATATATCTCATTAATAAAACAGTATAAAGGCTGTATGAGTCTCGAACGAACCATATCGCCACTAATCTTGGTGCCAACACCGTTAAACTATGCTCCAAATTTAGTAATACATTTTGTGTGCCCTATAATGACCCGGGGTTGGATTATTTAGGAGAACAGAAGATTGATATTGTTAAGTTGTTTCATAACATCACTCAGTTTGATTTGATTCGAGATATATCTCATTAATAAAACAGTATAAAGGCTGTATGAGTCTCGGACGAAACATCGCCACTAATCTTGGTGCCAACACCGTTAATCTATGCTCCAAATTTAGTAATACATTTTGTGTGCCCTATAATGACCCGGGGTTGGATTATTTAGGAGAACAGAAGATTGATATTGTTAAGTTGTTTCATAACATCACTCAGTTTGATTTGATTCGAGATATATCTCATTAATAAAACAGTATAAAGGCTGTATGAGTCTCGGACGAAACATCGCCACTAATCTTGGTGCCAACACCGTTAATCTATGCTCCAAATTTAGTAATACATTTTGTGTGCCCTATAATGACCCGGGGTTGGATTATTTAGGAGAACAGAAGATTGATATTGTTAAGTTGTTTCATAACATCTCTCAGTTTGATTTGATTCGAGATATATTTCATTAATAAAACAGTATAAAGGCTCTATGAGTCTCCAAGAACGATCGCCACTAATCTTGGTGCCAACACCGTTAAACTATGCTCCAAATTTAGTAATACATGTTGTGTGCCCTATAATGACCCGGGGTTGGATTATAATTTAGGAGAATGGAAGATTGATATTGTTAAGATGTTTCATAACATCACTCAGTTTGATTTGATTCGAGATCTATCTCATTAATAAAACAGTATAAAGGCTGTATGAGTCTCACACGAACGATCGCCACTAATCTTGGTGCCAACACCGTTAATCTATGCTCCAAATTTGTTGTGTGCCCTATAAAGACCCGGGGTTGGATTATTTAGGAGAATGGAAGATTGATATTGTTAAGATGTTTCATAACATCACTCAGTTTGATTTGATTCGAGATCTATCTCATTAATAATCAGTATAAAGGCTGTATGAGTCTCACACGAACGATCGCCACTAATCTTGGTGCCAACACCGTTAATCTATGCTCCAAATTTAGTAATACATTTTGTGTGCCCTATACTGACCCGGGGTTGGATTATTTAGGAGAACAGAAGATTGATATTGTTAAGTTGTTTCATAACATCACTCAGTTTGATTTGATTCGAGATATATCTCATTAATAAAACAGTATAAAGGCTGTATGAGTCTCGGACGAAACATCGCCACTAATCTTGGTGCCAACACCGTTAATCTATGCTCCAAATTTAGTAATACATTTTGTGTGCCCTATGAAAGACCCGGGGTTGAATTATCTGGGAGAACGGAAGATTGATATTGTTAAGTTGTTCCATAAAATCATTCAGTTTCATTTGATTCGAGATATATCTCATTAATAAAACAGTATAAAGGCTCTATGAGTCTCGAAGAACGATCGCCACTAATCTTGGTGCCAACACCGTTAATCTATGCTCCAAATTTAGTAATACATTTTGTGTGCCCTATAATGACCCGGGGTTGGATTGTGTAGGAGAACGGATGATTGATATTGTAAAGTTGTTCCATAACATCACTCAGTTCGATTTAATTAGAGATATACCTCATTAAAGCTATAGTCTCAAACTAACTTACCTGTACACCATTAAACTTGGTGCCAACACCATTAAACCATGCTCCAAATTTAGTAATACGTTTTGTGTGTCTGCAAAAGACCCGGGGTTGGATTATTTAGGAGAACGGAAGATTCCTATATTGTTAAGTTGCTCTATAACACAGGCGCGGTTCCAGGGGGGCAGCGCCCCCCCCCCCCGCAAAAATAAAGAGAGAGAGAGAGAGAGAGAGAGAGAAAGGAAAAGAAGGACAGGGAAAGAGGAGAGAAAGGGAAAGAAAGAAGAGGAAGAAGACAAGAAAAGGGGGAAGAAGGAGATTGGGGGGACCGAAATGGCCTTGCCTTCCAGGCTGTTGCCTCCCCGCCCCCCCCCCCCCCAATCAAAAAAAAATATGAGCGAAGGAAGGAAAGGGAAGTGAAGAAAGGAAAAGAGGAGATAAAGGGAAGGTAAATAAAAGAGGAAGAAGAAAAGAAAAGGAGGATATCAGTTTTCCTGCCAATAAGTTGTGGTTCGGGGGGGGGGGGGGGGGGGGGGGTTATTTCTAATTCCATAACGGTGACTTACAAATGTTGCTAAAATGACATCATTTTCCGAGATTGTTCCTCACTTTTTTTTTAATTATACTTTGTTATGCGTTTGTTGGAAAATGACATATTCCGAAATTTACAGTCAGGCAAGAAAAATATGCTTATTGAGATGCCTACATGTCGTGGCCCGCGGAACGGTCGGGATCGGGAGCCTCGAGCTCCCTCGCCCTCCCCCTCTTTTTTGAAAAAGTATATTAAAGAGAGCAAGAAATAAAGAATAGTGAACTGCCAGTGTCACAGAAAAAAACGAGGTATCAAAATATGCTCATCTGACCGTGATTAAATGCCTAAACCCCCGAACTTTCGGGGTCTCTTCCCTCTGGATTCCACCTAGGGCCCAAAAGTCGGCCCTTAAATGCTCATCTGACGGTAATTTAATGCCTAAAACCCCTGAGCTTCTTGGGGCTCCGCTCGCTGGACCTCACGCAAATCAGTGTCCTGCCAGTTTCACAAATAAGGTATAAAAATTATGTTCATCTGACCGTAATCAAATGCCTGAAACCCCTGAGATTCAGGGGTTTCCGCACCCTCGACCCCACCAGGGGCCCTGAGGCGGGCCCCTGAATACTTATCTGACCGTAATTTGCCTTCAACCCATGAGTTTCCGGGTGCGGACAAGGTATCAAAATCGTCTTGTTTCTCTAATAATTGAATTAAATGTCAAAGCTTCCGCGCTTGGCGCAGGAGGTGTGGATTAAGAGTCGGGAACGGTACAACAAATCGTCTTCTTTCTCTAAAGATTTAATGAAACGTAAAAGCTTCCGCGCTTCGCGCGCGCGGATAGGAGGGGGGGGGGGAACTGAATTCAGACGAGGATTAAGAGTCGAAAACGGTACAACGAATCGTCTTCTTTCTCTAATGATTTAATGAAATGTACAAGCTTCCGCGCTTCGCGCGGGAGGGGGGGGGGGATTTGGGGTTGAACCTCCCCCTGTTCGGTTTTTTGTTATGTGTGTATCTTGGAGCAACCCCCCCCCCTTTTTAATTATTTTTTTTAATTATGCCAATGGCTATCCTAAAAAAGGTGACCTCAACACCCCCCCCCCCTACGGAACAAAATGTCAAATTTTCAAATTTCGAGACCCAAAAAAAAGTGTCCTCTTACCCCCCCCCCCCCCCCCCGCTTCCTCTTTTTTGTTCCCTTTTAGCTCTCCTCTTTCCCTTCCCCTTTTCCCCCTTCTTTTTTGGCGGTGGGGGGGGGGGGGGGGGGGGAGAGGCAAGGGCCTTTTGCCCCCCCCCGGATCCACAACTTGTTGGCGGAAAAAATAGTAACTGATATTCCCCTTCTTTTCTTATCTTCTTCCTCTTTTTTTTCCCTTTCCGTTATCTCCTCTTTTCTTTTTTGCTTTCCCTTTCCTTCTTCTCTCTTTTTGTTTTGCTGGGAGGGGGAAGTGGAAGCAACATCATGGGAGGCAAGGTCCATTTCGGCCCCCCTCCCCCTGATCTCTTTCTTCCCCTCCCCCTTTTTCTTTTCTTTTTCCTCTTCTTTCTTTTCCTTTCTCTCCTCTTTCCCTTTCACATCTTTTTCTTCTCTCTCTCTCTCTCTCTCTCTCTCTCTCTTTCTCTCTTTATTTTCTTCTCTTTAGAGACTTTTACACCATTATTAAGAGACATAATGCGCAATCAAATCAAACTGAGTGATGTTATCGAACAACTTCACAATATCAATCGTCCATTCTCTTAAATGATCCTGGGAAGCCTCGGTCTTTATAGACACACAAAATGTATAACCAAATTTGGAGCATAGTTTAATGGTGTTGGCACAAAGTTTAGTGGCGATGGTTCGTTTGAGACTTGTACAGCGTTTATACTGTTTTATTAATGAGAAAGATCTCGAATCAAATCAAACTGAGTGATGTTATGAAACAACTTAACAATATCAATCTTCTGTTCTCCTAAATAATCCAACCCCGGGTCATTATAGGGCACACAAAATGTATTACTAAATTTGGAGCATAGATTAACGGTGTTGGCACCAAGATTAGTGGCGATGGTTCGTCCGAGACTCATACAGCCTTTATACTGTTTTATTAATGAGATATATCTCGAATCAAATCAAACTGAATGATTTTATTGAACAACTAAACAGTAGGCCTACTAAATGTCCATTTTCCTATAAACTGTCATTACAAAACTAGCTAGATTAGGGATTGTATGGCCGCTCCGAGGAACGTTTGCTATTTCAATTCCCTGCTTGTACTTGGCTTCACGGAGTAATTCGTCCTTTATAATGATTCTCTTCATTCCGGAGCAATGTATGTAATAATCAAAGACGTTTAAATATAATGCTTGCGAACGTACTCTTGTAATAGTACAGTACATGTACCTGTGTATAAAACAGATCCATAGACAGAGTACGCACGCCGCACGTCTGTGACGTAGGGAATAATGAATATTCATATCGCCGTTAATCTTGGTGCCAATATATGCTACCCTTATTGGGGTAGGGTCGGCTCTCTCTTTAGAGACCGAAACGGACTATCCCGCGAAATGTGTAGGGTTATGTGGGCAAATCAGCACACCAAACTTGCAAAACTTATCCCCGAATTACTCCTTTCATAGGATGCAAATCCGATGCATTTTATATTGTAAATTAGGTTAAAACTTAACTACTTCGGTTCCACTTACCAACTTGACTGAAATAATCCGTTTAATGGTCCATTTTTAGGAAATTATGGGTCAAAATCGATATCCATGATGAAAATCTTGCAAGCCTTTTTTAACTCTCGCTGCCGAAGTCATCTAAATCAATCTCATCCCTTCTAGTCTACGCCGAAGGCAAAATGATTATGAAGGAAAAACTGTGCGCCATCTACACGTTCCTAATGGCGTTATCACAGTTTTTCCTTCATAATCATTTTGCCTTCGGTGTAGACTAGAAGGGATGAGATTGACGGCAGCGAGAGTTTAACACGGCTTGCAAGATTTTCAACATGGATGTCGATTTTGACCCATAATTTCCTTAAAAGGGACCATTAAACGGATTATTTCAGTCAAGTTAGTAAGTGGAACCGATGTATAGCCTAGGCCTAATTTAAAATTGGATATGGACGAGGTAAAATGACATTTTGGGGGATTTTGGGGGCATAACAATACGGCCGTGGCAAGTTTGTCATGTTTGTGGGAGGGGCCTAGCGGCTAAAATCTAGCCGTGATATCTTCAACATACGATGGTATAGGCGATCGTTCAGTCTCTATAACCGGAGGTCTAGTGGAGCCAGACGTAGTCTCAGTGGAACAACCGACGATTATAGAGACTGAAGCTTTCGGTCTAGGAAAGAGGTCACAAACAATTAAACTTTGATTTTTTATTGTTTTGCCTCACTAGACTCTTATTTATATTATTATAAAGGGAAAAAAACTTAATAAACTGAGACTTGAACCCACAACTCTAAGATTGTACTACGCTGACCTTACCGATTGAGCCAACGATGGGTTGATGAAAGGTGATTCTGCATGATTTCTATAACCCTATCACTCACTTTAATGGTTACGTCATTGTTAATGACGTAACATATCAGCTAATCAGATGACCGGAAATATTAGCATTGGCAAACCTGTTTGGGAAAAAAAATTAGCGGCCCGGCCCTGGAGGTGGCAGACACCCTAATATTTGCTTAGTCATTTTAACTTAAGACGGGTTCAAGAATGTAGCCATTGGCAAACGGTAACCTGTATTCAAGTCATGTGTTTCTGCTTTAACTTTTTGTCTGAACAACTTAACCAACTCTTGTTTTCTCATGATTTTATGAACTTACAAAAGTCGCTCATTTTCAATCTGAATTATTGTGAAAGTGATCAGTAGGGGGGCTGGTCTTAGAATGAGAGACACTACACCACAATATCCTCATTTAGTTGCTGAAAAGGCTTTTGACGAGTACCAGCATAGACGTAGACGTAGATGAGGATCATCCTCATACACAAGGATATCCTCGTATATGCGGAGGGAATGCGTCCTAAAAAATAAGGATCGTCCGCATTTTCGTTTTTTGTCTTCAGCTCTTTGCGGGTTTCAGGTTCCCAAAATCCAAATCCTCACGCTGGCGATGCGAAAAAAACGGATTCCGCGTAATAAAATACCCCCTGTTCACCATACTTTTATAAAGTCAATGTAAAATGCATCAAGAAAATTATTGCGGAACCCGCTTTTCACATCGCTAATGCGCGGATTAGAAATCGTCAGCGAAAATGCGGACACGTCTGCGTGTACGAAGACGATCCTCGTTTGTGCGGACGGTCCTTATTCTCGGACCAGCGCTCCATCATAGTGAAAAAATACATTGTGACAGGAAATGTAGGATTATAATTTTGTAGTAAATGCCCTCCACTACACATTTTAAACAATCCTATTTGTACAAATTTCTTGATGAGATGTCTCTTGTCAGCCCGCTCAGTCAGAATTCACTTACCATTTGACGCAACACTCCACAGTTTTTCGCCATGGGAAGAGGAGCCCGACTGAAGGGGAGGGGTTGAGGGAGGGTTCCCAGCAGTGATCAAAAGTTGGGACGATGACACTGAGGAGGTCTAATTAAAGATAAATCGCAAGGGTCAGGAAGACTGGAGGAGAGAGAGAGAGAAAGAGCAAGAGAGAGGGGGAGGGGGACGGAAAGAGGGGGAGAGACAGAGAGAGAGAGAAAGAGAGCTCAAGGCATGGGGAGAGTTGTCGATGCATACATGCAGTGGGCTGGGATCTTCAGCATTGTATGGCTGAAATGCATGTGCGCCTAGCAGTGCGCTCTCCTTTTACTCTTCCGAATATCAGGAATAATGTAACATTATGAAAATATAAGATTAAACAAAGGAATATAAATGTAAATTCTTGTTCAAATTCAAGTAAAAAATGCAATTATCTACTTGAGCTAGCTCACTTACAAGAATCACAAATTTTACATCCTACATGTCATTCATCATATAATCTCCCTGTTTTGGTAATTTAAATTGCATGATTATTTAATAAATTTCATAGCAACAGACTTGATGAGACGTGATCTATGGTACTTCAGGTGATATATTGATTCTGAATTGGGTTAATACTTACTAGTACATATGTACCGTTATGTAAATTTTAAGTTCACGAAGGAACATTTTTGTTACTTTTTATCAGTAAGATCTTTTTCCTTTCATTTCTCAATTGATAATTTGATGATGTGCTTTTGCTATACTCTAATGACTGTGTATATTTGACCCCACATTGCATGTCATTTACAGCCAAATATGTTTATACTTTTATCTCACAAAGGAAGCAACACCTGTAAGCAATTTGTTCAGAAAGTTAGTGACGTTAAGCAGTCATGGTTCAGAAAATGACACAGTTGTTGATTTAGAATTTCAACTTGAGACTTGAGTATATTTGAATGTAATAGAGATGTATTTGTTTTATGTTCCAGGCTGAACCACTGCGTGTGCTTGTAACTGGTGCTGCAGGACAGATTGCCTATTCTCTCCTCTACTCCATTGGCAAGGGAGATGTCTTTGGACCCAAACAGGTAGGCCTAGCTTCCTCCAGCCTGGAAAATAAAGTCAAATCAAGATGTTGTTTAAATTGTAAATATTAGGTATTGTGTGCCACAATGTCAGGTTAAAGAGTAATCCCATATTGATAACACTGCTATCAGGATTGGGCACTCAAAAGGAGTTGGACAAGTTACCCTCTAAAATTTACAGTGACCCCTAAATTGCAGCTTCTCCTTTAAAGTTTATATCCTAATCTTGAAAGTTAATGTCAGGCTGCTACCATTGAAAAACATTTGTATATGATACATTCAAGGTAAGCACATATTCAGAGGATAACATCTTACAATTTTAGATCTCAATTTCTATTCTAAGTTGTTTAACAAAAAGTTCTCACAAATTATGTAACTTTTAGATGCATGCATGATAAGCAAGCATTGCTTTCTGTAGCATGCCCCTTCTTGATATGCATGCTTATATTGAATAAGAAAAAGAAAATTCAGAGGGTTATAGGGTTTTTATTGTTAATTCTATCTGTGTTTTGACTTGCACTTTACAATTGATCAAAATCAACTAAACTTAGCATTATGATACATGTTTGTGAACTGTGCTGCTGTTTCTCTGTTGACAGTCTTTGGTCCTAATCCTGTTGGATATCCCTCCAATGATGGGAGTCTTAGATGGTGTTCTCATGGAACTCCAAGATTGCTCTCTTCCTCTTGTCAGCAGTAAGTTTCATCAGTGCTTATTGATTATGACATGCTATATAATCTGACTATAATTTGTATTGGTAGAATTTGCAATAGCTTTTGATATGAACATTCAAACTTGTAAAATCTTAATGATCAATTTTTAATAAAATCACAATTTAAAGGTATTTCACATTTTTTGAAGAAAAATAGCTAAATGGGCTCATCAGACCAGTAGTGCAATTGTCTACAATTTGAAGCCAACTCTGTTTTTATTCTTACTAGAAGAGTTAAAGATAAAAGTTAAGTTCTGGTTATTCGATAGCATTGTGAAAGAAATGGTGGAAGCGATTGGAAAAGTTTCATCACGTAGCACCTAGATATTGGTGTGCATAAATACTGTGTTTGTTTTTTTTTCATCTTCAAAATGGTTAGAAATTAAATTATTTTTGTATTCCTGTAGGTATTGTTGCCACTGCTGATCCCAAGGTGGCATTTACTGGTGTTGATTTTGCTATCCTTGTTGGAGCCATGCCTCGTAGGGAGGGTATGGAAAGAGCTGATCTTCTCAAGGCCAATGTCAAGATCTTTGAATCCCAGGGTCAAGCCATCAATTCATACGCAAAGAAAACAGTCAAGGTAAAGATATACATGTAGCTCATCATCCAATCTCTCCTTGAAAGGCTTAAAGGTTATGATATTCTGAATCTAACATTGTTGTGATCTGTGTGGGATAGTCCATATTTTGGAGATTCTGTCTATATCCTGGGAGCCTGGCTTGAAAGAGCTTGTTACATATAGGTATCTGGGCTCTGTGACTGCCATGCTGAAATTTACCATTAGTGTATGTGTTAGTTACACAAGTAGCTTGCATAATCATCTTTTATGTCTTGTAAACAAAAACAGGTGAAGGTGGTCAATACAAGTGCTTACATAATGCTATCAATATTTTGTGGCTACTTTTAAGAAAATAAGACAGTTTTACAATTTAATAACCTATAAATATAAATGAAAAGATCATTTGACACCAAATTATGATACTCAAGAATAAACTGTGTAAATATGAATTGAATTGAATGAACCACTTTTGATTTATTAAGGCCAGAATGTTTTTTAAAAAGCCTGTTCTTTACATCCAGATCATTTGGGGGCAGCAGAGCTAGGTTAAAGAGTTTTCTTGAGCAAATTCAGGGGAGTGTTACACCCCTTCCTTTTTTTTGTGGGGGGGGGGGGGGGGGGGGGGAGGGGGAGGGGGGGGGGGGTGGCCATCTGGCGCCATACCCCGATAGATATTCATTTTGTATATGTTTTGTAATGTATACTACTTCCTACTGACAAAATTAGGTGCATGGGCTTGATGGATTAAATTGACCAGACTTCTGGGTTTGTTTTGGCGTTCTGGGGCGTAAACCAGACAGCTATGGTCAGGCTGACATCTCTTTGTCAATGAGTGAGATAGTCTAAGTAACAGTTGTAATTTGAATTGAAAGTGCATTCATCTTTCTCTTCTTCTTCTTCTGTTTTGGTTAATTGGCGATTAGTCAGTTGTGACTATTGTCACCAAAATACTTTACGTCATGCCGATTATATCTCTCATTTTTGTATTATTATTATTTTATTTTTTTTGTTTTATATTTATCTATCTTTTAAGATAATATCGAAAAATAGTATGGTAGCAGTTTTGTGCAACTCACCAAATTGACCACACTCCCCCACTCAGTTCCACATAGCGCTTGCCCACCCTTGTCTAAACGATGCCATCTTACTACTTAAGCTATAGTACTTATGAATTAACAAATATTTGTAATTTTATTGTTCAGCAATGTCATGGGTTTCCTCTTTTGTGAGAAACTATCTTGTATTTTGTCTTGACACTTGTAGGTACTAGTTGTTGGTAACCCAGCCAACACCAACTGTTTGGTCTGCATGAAGAATGCTCCTTCCATACCCAAGGAGAACTTTACTTGTATGACCAGACTGGATCAAAACAGGGCCCAGGCTCAGGTTAGTTGAAACACGATGCAGAATATAATGTTCTGTGCTATGAGCTAATCTCACAAACTTAAGTAATTTTATTGTCTTTTATAGAGTTAAAGAACCATGTCATATGATGTATGCTAAATAAGAATGATGTATGCTAATTATATTGAATAATAAAGAATGATTTGTTCCTTTTAGCTAAAGGATTGAATTTGATGGATCATTGGTAGATGACCTGTCTAGTAATCCAGTTATTCATGTCTGCTTTTTATAATTTAACATTGCTTACAGCCCATGTGTGCTAAAAAATTCTTCAAAAATATGCCATCATGTTTAATTTCTTTAGTTGTAAGATATTCACAATTGTAACCTGATTCAGAGATATATTTTTTTCATTTTCTAAAGAGTAAATTCAGAGGGGAGATAAAAGATAATTTGGGTATTTATCAGTGATTTAAATGACATTTTCTCCCCCCCCCCTTTATTTTTTTTTGGGGGGGGGGGGGGGGGGGGGTGATATGCCTTTTCAGTGGGTTTATTAAGTAAATTCGCTAAAACATGATCGCTACATCCAATTTTGTTATTATCATGTCACTTGTTGAGACAAGGCTTTTCATGTCACCAAATGGTTATCTTTTGTCAGATTGCTAATCGCTTGTCGGTGTCTTGCGATGCTGTTCAGAATGTAATCATCTGGGGTAATCACTCCAGCACTCAATTCCCTGATGCTGCTCATGCTTCAGTGGACATCAACGGCAAGAAGGAGAATGTTGTTGCAGCAGTCAAGAATGATGATTGGCTCAATGGAGAATTCATCAAGGTAATGTTATCTTATTTATCCCTCCATGAATAAGGTTAACTTTAAACGGAATCGATTGTTTCTACGAGGGCCTTAATGTAAAAAAACATTACTATTTTTTAAATACATACAAAGAGAGAGAGGATTTGATTTTGCATGTCCCCCACATAAAGCAAGGGATATTGGTTTATATCATGTTGACCTGTCGTATACATGTACATGTACAGTGAAATCAAAAATTGAATAAAATTGATTAAAAAGCCAATTTAAAAGAAAATGTTTGAAAAAGTATAGCATGATTAGATTTTTTAAGGAGACATTAAAATGTATTCTTTTTGTTTTCCTTTTTGAAGAGTTCCAGGATTTTAAAAAGAAGTTGAAAGAATGAAGATATGTTTTATTGGAGACGATTTTAAGGAGTTGAAGCATGTTCTGGGTGTATTGAAAAGAAAGTTTAGGGCAGAGCCACATGGCCCACAACTCTACTTCATTAGATTGTTCCTGTAACATTTGTAAATGAGTATTGACAGAGAAGTGATATTGAAAGTCTTTTGATGTCATTTGCACAGACTGTTCAAGTTCGTGGAGCTAGCGTCATCAAGGCAAGGAAGCTGTCTAGTGCCATGTCTGCTGCCAAGGCTATTTGTGATCACATGAAGGATTGGTGGTTTGGGACCCCTGAGGTAAGATATTAAGTCTCTGCATTTCACACTCGATCATCAACTGGCCTTGTATCTCATGTGCAACCAGATTGCATATTATATAGCAGAAATTGTTGTGTCATTTACTAGCATAGAAAGGGCTGCAGAAGAATTTGTGGGAATGAACATTTTATTCACCTTTTTTGCGCTAATTATGTAAATGTTATCAACACTTTAAAAGAGATTATTAAAAAGCAGATAGTAATGTTGTCCCATAGACACTATTAGCAATACAGTTGAGTACAGAGCCCTGTAACGCAAAGCTTATCAATTGATTGTACGTTTGGTTTTTGCAATTGATTATTATGTGCAATCAAAAGCAAAAGTCAATGGTACGATCAGTTGTTAAGTTATGGGGCCCTGGTAATATAGTTGCATCATGAACAAAAAGCCATTGGGAAAGGTGGATTGTGTACTACATAACAATTTTTATATGCTGTGATATTTTGGAATCCACTGAATATATGAATATGGAGTCAGTCTTGCTAAAAACCACATGTGCTTTACACTGAAATGATGGATTGGACCATACACACTTGTGGCATGAAAGTTTGGTCCAAACTTTTCAGCTTGTCTTATTTTGAATGTGAGGGCATTTGAAGAGCACTCCTTTTTCAGGGGATACTTCAACTAGAATATTCAGCCAATCCAACAAATAAATCGCGAGAAAGCTCACAAATTAATTTGTCATCTTCACCAGAACTCGACTTTCTCTTTAATGTGTTGAGCTCATTTTGGTTTCTTGCAGGGTTCTTGGGTGTCCATGGGAGTATACAACAACGGAAGCTATTACGGTATTCCAGCGGATCTCATCTACAGTCTACCAGTCACCATCGGGAAAGGAGGAGAATGGTCCGTAGTCCCTGGTCTCACCATCACTGACTTCGCTCGGGAGAAGATGGACCTCACTGCCAAGGAGCTTGTTGATGAGCGGGACACTGCCAACCAGTTTGTTCAACCACAATGACAGACTGCTCGTGGAATGAGTACAGATGAGACAAAGTCTCGTCTGTGAGACAAGGTCTTGTCTACTCGTATGGAGAAAATAAATGAAACAGAAATATTTTAGAATACACAATATGATTGTAATGTCACAGTTTTTGTTGAATATATTGGTGTGAATTATGTGAGTTCCCATTGTCTCATATTAAGTGTATTGGAATTGCCTAGTAAGACCCCATTTCATCCTTATTCAAAGACAGAGTGTATGGGTCCTCTGAAGTAACCAAGAGTTTATATTTTGCTGTGTGAAAATACAAAGGACTGCTTACAACTAATGTTTGAAATGGACCCATCTTTGGTAACTTGTAACAAGAACTATGTGTGAATAGTGTGCAGTTGAATAATCCTCAGTGTAGAGGTACAGACTGAATGATATTCTGTTATTGTGTGAATATGCTTCTCATGCCTTTCATCCCCTTTCATTATGAGACTTTTTATGAGGTTGTATCAATTCATCTTTTCTACTAAAACTCATGTTATCCCAACTGAATCATTCTTCGTTAAATTGAATTGATTAATTTGTTTACTCTCCTTTAGTACTCTTTCCACGGCCTCGTACTTAGACACCCTTAAAAATATGATTCTTTCTTAGGACAAGTTTCCCAATGGAACATTCTTTTCATGAGTATACATGATATGTGATTTATTTCTCTGTGTCTTTGCATTGTATTTTCATACGAAGGATCAATATCTGTCATTAATTTTTGAACAATAGATGTGACCCTAATCAGTATTCTGAAAATTGCTGAAATAAAAGAGTTTTGAGTTGTACTTGATATAAATTATTTTTGATTTGTTAAAGTTTATCTTTAATTCACCCGTTAGAAATTATAAATATGCTACATGCTAGATTTTATATATAATTACATGATGCATGTTATTCAAAGATTCGAGGTGTTAAACTTATCCTTGACCAAATATAGTGCTTCCAAGAAGCGTTGATAATATTGCAACAAAGTTGCAATATGTACTGATAGAAGAAACATGAGAAAGTGCCATTCCTTACAATTAACAGGTACCCCATTACTATGTGTTGTCTGCCTGGTTCATGATTTGAACATGACACACGTACTACATGTACTATCACCTGATGTTACAAGTCATCTTGTTTGATGTGAAACAGTATCCAAGCAATAAAGTTACCAAACCAACAGACCTGTATGAACAACTGTCAATGATTTTGTTTGTGAAATACTAAGTAATATACATTTACCTAATAGTAACAGACAAATCTTCTAATACTGAAGTCAATGGAACCATAAAGAACACTTGATGGTTCCATTCAAACAATTCAAAGTGTGATTTGAGTAGATTATAAAATGAGAGAGCATTAGAAGCAAGGGTGGAACAATGTTCTTTGGGTGGGTATAGTAATGTTTTACTGACTTAGTAATAATGGGTTTTTACTGTACACGTCTTATTTAATTCACACATGTAATTAACATGCTTATACAAGAATGCATTTTTCAAAGCTATGGAAAGTTCTTTTCCATTACTCATAAATGTTAGGTTCACAAAACTTTGATATCCGATATGTTTAGACACATACAGGTATCTCCATGGAAACAATACACATGGTAATATAAAGCAGTTTGTATTTTCAGAGGAACTGAAGATCTTGTACTGGAATGATTGAATGCAGGGACAGGAAGAGCTCTCACTAATATTACATTTTCACTTTAAATCTCTCATTCATCTTAAAAGGGACGTCTACCCTGATACTAAGTTGGTTTAAATAGAACAATGAGAGAAAAGAGTCTGAAAGTTTGAGCAAAATTCTATGAAAAATAAGTAAGTTACAGACTTACAGTATACATCTTTGAAGTTGACATAAATCAAACATAAATTGGCAACTGTGATGTATCTTGCTAGCTCCTTTTAGTTGGTAAGGACGGAAAGATTTGTTTCATACAGGGGTTGTATAAAAACATATTTGCAATGATTATATCCAAGGTGAATGCAGGATTACAATTTAAGTTTTGTAGTGCAGGACAAATGAGAAGGGAGCCTCAATTTGTGTTCGGATTGACCGCACCTTCAAAACTTCATAACTTTCTTATACTTAATCAGTTTTTGCTAAAACGTTGACTGACCTGTTTCTCCAGGCTTTTTTCTGCTTCTATAAAAACCAACTTATCATCAGGGTAGACTTCCCAAAAATCACAAGACCCCACAACAAGATTTTTCATGGTGAATTAAAAATTCAGGAAGGAAACATTAATTGACAAAGGTAATACTTTGTTTTCTACAATTAGAGATGGATATGGAAGATATCAACATGCCTTACATTGCATGTTTTTCACGTACTTAAGAAAGTAACACAGCATGAAAATATGATGGAAGAGATGTGACAAACGAGGAAAGAATTAATTGTTTAAAAATAAGATATTGTCCCTGTTTAATAAAAATTGAACAATTCGTTTACATCTTCTGTACTGCATTAAATTCTGTCCAAAATTTTCGAGAGAAAATGGAAATTCAGTGAAGAAAAGGCGATAATCGGCATATATGTTCGTGTGTGTGCGTGTGTGTGTGTGTGTGTATGTGTGTGAGGGTGTGTGTTGAGGGAGGGGTAAGCTGGGTCACAGATAAACCGATCGTTCAAATCAAGTATTGATAGTTTATAACAGAGCAACCGCAATTTATGCCTAATGTGCACATTCCTAAAAAAACAATTTTCACGAGTTTTTCAAAGTGCTCACTCGAGCATGAAATATTGTCAATACTTTAGTCAGTGGCGGATCTAGAGGGCGGGGCCCGAGCCCCCACCCCTGGGGGAAAAGAATGTGTAAAAACAAGTGAAGTTTACCTGTTCGGGGAGATGGACCCCCTCTCCTGGCGCTCAAGGTGCGATTTTTCAAATTTTCGAGGGCAACAACAAAAAAATGAGTGCTCACCATCCCCCCTACCCCACTGACCGAATTATCGGCCAGCGCGATTTTCAAATTTTCGGGAGCAAAAAAAAGAAAAAGAGATAAGTGCTCACTACCCCCCCCCCCCCCCCCCCCCCCCCCCCCCCCCACTGAGCGAATTATCGGTCGGCTTAAAATTTCTTACGAAATGGGCACCCTCCCCTGCCGCCGTCTGGATAAGCCCATGATCTCACCTTCACCAATAATTTTATAAGAATAATCATGAAGGTGTGAAATTAAGATTTTGGAGAATAATTTTAGCCCGGGGGGGGGGGGGATGCTGCTCAACAAGCCTCGAAACCCCTACCCATTTTAAGGGTCATTTTGGCAGAAAAAGGCACCCATTTTTAGTGATATTTTTGTAAAAAATGGGACCCATGTTAAGGGATTTTTTTGTGAAAAAGCGACTCAATATGTGAGTACGTACCCCCCCCCCCCTTTCGGATTTTCAGAGTGTCCTTTTTTATACACTGACGACCCATGCACATAGTGGTATGTTTAAAAAGTTTAGTTGTAAATTTAGATATAAAACAAATAAGCAAAAGCAACTCCAAAAAGCTATTCTCTAGATAAATTTAATTTAATTATCATAAAATTAAAAAAAGTCGAGTGACTCCCCCGGGAGGAGACGAAGCTAATATGACCCGGAGAGCGTTTCACAAAACTTGTCAATTTGTCATCAGTAACAAATGACAGTTTTCGTACGTTAAGCTACTGAAATCCTTGCTTTTGATTCGTTGTCATCAAATTTGTCACTGATTTTTGTCATTTGTCATTGAAACAAGGCCTTGTGAAACGGGTCCCAAATGATCGCACGTGAATCTTGGATTCTATTCGAGCGATGGGCGTGGCAGATGTGGACGTGGCGGGGGGGGGGGGGGGGGGGGGGGGGCTTGTCGCTGTTTTCTTAAATGTAGAAAAGATGTAGATAGACCCTGAACTGTAATGAAAGAATTATGGTACATTTAACTGTTTTGAAAGCTAGGAATCGACGGAGAACCGGGTAAAGAGCAATATTTTGATATCATGTCATTATCCAGTGTTATAAATAACTCAAACAGAATCTAGATCTATATGCTAGATCTATTTCTGTAAAAATCAGTCCAGGCTTTAAGGGATTTCTTCTTCTGAAGACATAAAGAATACACAATGGGCGCCCGGGCTTAGACGAATAAGTATCAATCACATCATTCTACGAGATCGAATAGGTAATATAAAGGATGCCACGCAACGGAACCTAAATAACATGCATTGTATAGACATGTATTGTATCGTATTTATTAAACTCCATTGATGTATATCAATATTTTGTTTATAAACATATAAATCAATTTGCAATGCAATTTAACAAATTAATATTCTGTTTGTAAACTTTCATTTCATTCATTTTCATTTAATTATTTAGCAAAGAAGCCTATGGAAAGACGCAGATGTTGTTCCCGTGCCAAAAGAGAAACCTCCTGTCATCACAAAACTCAGGCCTGTGTCACTAACATCCCAATGTGCGAAAGTTTGTGAGGGATTCGTGGCTAAATGGATCCAACATGACATGGGGCCAAATATTGAACGACATCAGTATGGAAGCCTCAAAGGCTCATCAACCACACACTGTTTGATTGAAATGATGAATCAATTCTACAAGGAATCAGACAAACAGGATTTTGTAGGAAATCTTGTGGTCACAGATTTCTCGAAGGCGTTCGACACGGTAGACCACACCGTGGTTGTAACTAAGCTCTTAAATATGGGAGTCCGTCCGGAAATCATCCCGTGGATCGCCGACTTTTTAACGAATAGGCACCAGAGAGTAAAATACCAAAGCGCTATCTCCTCCTGGAAGAAACTAACCTGTGGCGTTCCCCAAGGAACAAAGATCGGCCCCCTAGCCTTTCTAGCAGTCATCAATGACGCACTGGAGTCGACAGAGTTGCATACATGGAAGTATGTAGACGATCTTAGTATCGGCGAGACCAAGACCGTCAATGAGCCTTCTCACCTGCAGGAAGCTGTCAACGACCTGGTGCAATGGGCTGACCAAAACTACTTGAAACTAAATGCAGCTAAATGTAAACAACTGCAGTTTTGCTTCAAGAGAACCAAACCAGCACCCCCAGACATATCTCTAGACCCGAATGTTTTGGAGGTGGTCAATGAAACGAAAATCCTCGGTGTCTGGGTTCAAGGTGACCTAAAATGGGACAAACAAATCAAAGAAATGATGTCGAAGAGCAAGAAACGGGTACATATACTGAGCAGACTGAAGAGATTTCGAATCCCACGAGAAGATCTAGTTGCCGTATACAAGTCCTACGTCCGGCCAGCTCTGGAATACGCAGCACCGGTGTGGCACCCTGGACTCACAAAGCTGCAGACTAGTGCACTGGAAAAAATCCAAAAGAGGGCGATGAGGATTGTACTTGGAGCTGAACTCACTTACACAACTGCTCTCAAAGAAGCTTCAATAGAAACATTAGAAGAAAGAAGGCATGACCTATGTACAAAGTTTGCCGAAGCATGTGTACGTTCCCATATATACTCGAATGTGTTCCCTCTCAACGACACAACTCATTCCATGCAGCTCAGGACCAGCCGAACGTACAAATCTATCAATGCCAGGACAAAAAGATATCAGAATAGCTCCATTCCATTTCTGACAACTTGCCTAAATGAATAATGCCAAGGTTGTATAAAAGGGGTGAATAGAGAACAATGTACGCCTAACTCTTTTTGACGAAACCGGTGTCACTATTTATTTAACTATTATTATCGATATATATTTTGAAATCAGAACATATTTCTCATATAATTATATTTCCAGGGGCATAATTGATTATCGAAGCATGAACATGGGTATTACGCATAGCATTACAGGTATCAACAAGGTTATTTTTTGTTCAATTAAGCACTCAAATACCTTATCAATGACTTATTTACCCAATCTCTACTGAATGATGCAAAACCAAATTAGATAATATTATTAATGCAAATATTGTTGTTGTATATATATATACATTGAATTATTCTTAATGCTAATATTGTGAATTATCACTAGAAAGTGATCTAACTATTGATGACAATTCATTGTCTTTGTTAATTATATGGTATTTTAACTAGTAGTATATTTGAAACAATTGTGTAAGAAATATGATATGTTTTTAATTGTAAATTGTCATGCAATTCAGCCCAGGCTGCGAAATGATGATATTAATAAACTGAACTGAACTGAACTGATATACCTCAGCCCGCGGA